ATATTCAATAAATTTTGTTTCTTTATATGTAAAGATACATAAAATATTAAAATATAAAAGTTTTATATGTTAATTTGCATGTGAAATCGTTATAAATTAGCTGTAAGAAATTCCATCGAATGCGCGGACCGAGTCTGGAATTGCTAATTCGACCGAGCGAAACAGGTCTGGAGTGCAAAGGGTTAATATATTTTTATATAACATTTGATTAAAAATATTTAACTTAAACATTTTTATATTATTTTTATATAGTGATGAAATAGAAAATAATCTTTTTATGTAAATATATGCATGTATATTTAAGATTTAATGTATTAAATATATTATATTTAAATAAAAGATTTCTTTAAAATTTTTTGTGTTAAAAATAAATTTTTATTAAATCATTATAAATTAGTTATTTTTGGAAATTTTTGTAAACTATATCAATTATTAATAACTACACAATTACTATTATAATTACTAATAACGTGATGATAGCAGGCAATTAAGACGTTATAATGGATGAACTAATCAAATCCAATGCTGAGTTTGGACATTCAATCGCCCAAAGAATTGTTTATATTTTATTTTTTGCGAATTTAAAATGTGTCAAAGTTTTTGTTTGGTAATTATAGAAAATACTATGATAGAATTCGAAGAAAACCTGACCTTTAATATCGATAATCCGAATTTTGTATCATCAAATATTATCATTATTATTATATCATTATTATATTTATATTATATCATTATTATATTGCTCATAATATCCTTCGTGCAATTCACTAATATTACATTTGGTGTCAATAAGTGTGAATATATTTACGGTTCTATTGCTATTTATCTTTATTATTTGTATTATATATATTATAATACAGTAATATAATAAATTGATACAATGTTATATTTTTTATGATTTAGAAAATATTTTTATTCTTATATATATATTTTTAATACAAATATATTTTATGAAGATTTGATTTCAATTGTTTTTATATAAAATTATTCTTATTTATTTGTAAAAATGGATAATATTTATTTCAACAAATTTCTTTTCATGTTGTTTTATTGATTAACTGTAAAACTATAATTTATATATAAAATTATATAAAATTTGAAATGATTTTTATGATCATTTTTTTTCCTTTTGTTTTTCTTTTCTTTTTCTTTTGAAATTTACACTAATAAAAGTATCTCGTTGTGCAAACAGAGATATATAAATATACAATTTTTATCTAACGAATTTAAAATAATTATTGTACCAATTTTTTAGAGCGATTAATACATTAATTCTAATTTAATTTTTCAAAAAATTAAGAATATTAAATTAAAAATTGAATTTGTTACATAAAAATTCTGGAAAATAATTAATAATTATTTCTAAAGAATGGAGAATATTTTTTTGATGTGTTTGTAATTTGATCGTGATATAGCAATGTCTATATATAATATATCTAATATATATATTTATCAAGACATAAATCTTGAAATTAACAGTTTTATCTCTTCAAACTAAAAGTAAATAAATCTTGGCCAATTATTCTATTGTATTTTAATGATTATCCGTGATTCTATGAATTTATTGATTCTGTATAATTCTTCGAGAGAATTTCTGTTGTAAAAGAGAAAGTAATAAATATTATTTTAATTGATTGTTAAATCGATTTTATATAGATAGTACATAAAAAATTATTATTAACTTTTTTTTTATAATCAAATATTGTTTATTGTACATCAATTTTCTTTAAGGTTTTTAACGGTATATTTAATTATTCTAAGATTTCTTAAACTCTTATAATAACTTAGACCTTGGATTAGTATAGATTAAGCAATAAAATAAATTCTTGGTAAAGTCGTTCAAGAATTTTTGTAAGCACTTTTTCAATAGTAAGTTTAGTTTCCTTTCTATATAAGTATAATTTCTTCTTAATGCTAATAAATTTTTTAGCGAATACAATTTAGATCGATTAATAATAACAATATAAAATACTAAGTGCAGTAATAAATGTCTTTGATTATCTGTAATGTTTATTAATGTTTATGTATCATCTTTTTTATTGCATTATTTTATTGTTTTAACTTATTAAAACAACACATCTGCGACCGTGCACTTATTGAGAATCTTTCTCACTTAAGTGATTTGTTTTCCAATTTTTTAATTCTAATATTTTGAAAATATTATAAAAGATATGTATCTAATTTTGAAAAAGGATTTCCTTTTGTTTTCAATAATTTTTCGTGATAAAATATTGCAAATCTCCAAGGAATAATATCATTAAAAATTTCGAAATTATTTTTTTCTGTTTAATTTGAAAATAAAAATAAATTCAATTCATTTTCATAAAAATAAATAATAGCAAAAATGTAAATTATCTTTTTTTAGACGATATAATTTAAGAATAGCCTCTAATATAACTGTTTGGATAGACTTACATCATATATTATTTTCAAATAATCATTAAACTTTCTTCACTAAAGATCAGATAATTTATAATATAAAAACAAATCATTTAGAAGCTTTCCACCAATTCTACAATATATTTTATCGATAATTTAATTTCTGAATTGCTTTATTCCTACTAACTTCAATTTCATCTAATCGCACTATGAAGTTAGCAATATAAACAATGAAGATTAAATTTAAAATTTTCAAAGTATTCTATTAGCGGCTTCTCTAAGCGCTTGGGTGATTTATATGTAAGTATACTGTGAAAGTTTAGAGAGTTTTTATAATTTTATTTAATTTTTATAATATTTTAAAAAAATATGTTTGTTCTTTTTTATTTATTATAATAATAAAATATTTTCTTATACGTTGTTTAATGTATATATTTAAATCTTATTGTACTTTTAACCTAAAAAAAGATTTGCAGGTTAAATTTCATTGATATACATATACTTCTTCGGTATTAAAAATTTATCATAAAAATGAAACGAAATACATCAAGTTATTCGTATCATGATGAGAGATTTAGACAATTACGCAATGAAGATAACGAAATTGGTCTGCGTTCAAGAACAAAAGAAGAACGTTTACAACATAAACGCGAAGAATGGATGATACAACAAGAACGAGAACGAGAATACGAAAAATTGAAAAAGAAGAGGATTTTAGAATATGAATTACGACGTGCTCGTGAGAAGAAATTATTGAAAAGAAGTAAAACTAAAAGTAAATCTCCAGAAAATCGAGATACATCAAAGACATCTAAAATATTTATATTATCTGAAAAGTATGTATGAATAAATTAAATAATTTTTAGTTTAGTTATTTACATAAAATTGTTTTAAATATAAATAAAAATAGAGTTTAAAAAAAAAATATTTGAATATTATAGAAATTATATTAGATATACAATATAATTTGAAAAATTATAAATAAGTGCATAAAATAATATAATGTAAAATTTTCAATATAAAATATATTATTTTTATATATAATATTCGAGAAAATTTAATTTATAATTTTGACATGAAGTTTATTAGAGTCATATAATTCATTTTTTTAAATAAAAAATTATTTTATACTGCAGATTAGAATCTTCAAATGATATATCTTTATTTAGAGGATCAGGTACTCAAATTAATGCAACAGAACTACGAAAAATTAAGGTAGATATTCATAGAGTTTTGCCAGGAAAACCAACAACAGCAACAACTGATGAACTTAAACGAGATATTATCAATCCTGAAGATGTGATGCTCAAAAGAAGAACGGGTAAAATGTTATTTTTTGTTTCGATTATTAACAACTTAAAAATTTATCATCATTGATAAAGAAATAGCAAAGGTATGTATCAATTCAATGCAAAAGATTAATTATTCCATCAGAAGAAGATAAAATTTTTTCAGTAGAACTCATCAAAAATATGAACTCAACATGGAAGATAACTTTACAATTTTTTCAAAAATATAATTATTGAATTTATATTTCAACAGACTTTTGTATTATTTTTTTTCTATGATTAAATATTAATAATAATTTTATTTTATTAAATGTAACATCATGAAGAATCGTAACATTTTCTATAAATTTCTATAAATTTCTATAAATTTCTATAATAAGAAGATGAATTTATATGTCATATATCTTCTATAATATTCAACAATTTATTCAAATATAAAAATATTTTATGAAGTTTACATAACATATTCTTATTTATCAAAGAAGAAAATTTGAAATATTATGCAGGATGAGAATATTGAAAATATAATGTGCAATATATAAACACAATATCTTTTATCTTAAGAGTTCCAAGAGTATTTTTATTTATTTTTTTTAAATTTTTTTGCAAATTGCATTTGAGTTTGCACAAAAAAAATTATGCTTTTAATATTAATAACATAAAAACAACGTTATGTTTTTGATATATTGTTTATAACAATTTTTTAAAAATTGCTTTAAATTTTTACTTTGTTTTGTGCAATCTCTTTATTGATTTAGCTTGGCTTTTGGAATATTTGTATACTTAAAAATAGGAAGAATTACTTTATAAATTTCTATTATAAATGATTTATTTATTATAAATTATTATTAATTATTTATTATGAATTCAATTTTATTAGTACATTTTACACAATTTTTTTTTATTAGAACTTAATTATTAGAAAAAGAAAAATTAATTTTATTATTTTGCAATCAAACATGTAGAATTCGATATTAATGCTAAATATAGTTCTACAACTGAAGAATAAATATTGAAGAATAAAACATCTTGAAGATTGATACGATATCAGAATTATTAATAATATGATATTAAAATGAATAATTAATGAAAATATTTAAATAATAGAAGCATTTATATCTATTAAATTTTAAAGTAATAATTTTTTTTTAATTTTTTTTAATTGCAAAAATTTGTCTCATATTTAACTTATATTTAAACAATTTTGAATTAAAAAAAATTTAAAGAATTCAAAAAATAAAATTTGTGCATAACTTATATGTCATATTTATGTTATTAGTCAAATAAATTTAAGATATAATGTAATAGTAAACATGATATAATTCATCAAGTGGAAGATTTTAATCATCTTGGAAGATATGATTTTAAAATTCCAGTTTATTACATGAGGATTTATTCTACATAATTTTCAAAATTTATCATTTTTTAATTAAATGTTTAATAAAAAATGAGATCATCATTAATAAAGAAATAGGTATGTAGAAAAAGGTATGTATCAATTCAATGCAAAAGATTAATTATTCCATCAGAGGAAGATAAAACTTTTTCAGTAGAATTCATCAAAAATATGTATGAAGTCAACATAGAAGATAACTTTATAATTTTTTCAAAAATATAATTATTGAATTTATATTTCAACAGACTTTTGCATTATTTTTTTTCTATCATTAGATATTAATAATAATTTCATTTTATTAAATGTAAGATCATGAAGAATCATAACATTTTCTATAAATTTCTACAGATAAGAAGATGGATTTATATATCATATATCTTCTATAATATTCAACAATTTATTCAAATATAAAAATATTTTATGAAGTTAATAACATATTCTTAATTTATCCAAGAAGAAAATTTGAAATACTACGCAGGATCAGAGTATTGAAAATATAATGTGCAATATGTAAGCACAATATTTTTTATCTTAAGAGTTCTAAGAGTATTTTTATTTATTCTTTTTAAATTTTTTTGCAAATTGCATTTGAGTTTGCACAAAAAAAATTATGTTTTTAATATTAATAACATAAAAACAACGTTATGTTTTTGATATATTGTTTTTAACAATTTTTTTAAAATTGTTTTAAATTTTTACTTTGTTTTGTGCAATCTCTTTATTGATTTAGCTTGGCTTTTGTATACTTAAAAATAGGAAGAATTGCTTTATAAAATTTCCATTATAAAATGATTTATTTATTATAAATTATTATTAATTATTTATTATAAATTCAATTTTTTATTAGTATTTAATTATTAAAAAAAGAAAAAGTTTTATTATTTTGCAATCAAATATGTAGAATTCGATATTAATATTAAACATAGTTCTACAACTGAAGAATAAATATTCAAGATTAAAACGTCTTGAAGATTGATACGATATTAAAATTATTAATAATATGATATTGAAATGAATAATTAATAAAAATATTTAAGTAATGGAAGTATTTATGTCTATTAAATTTTAAAGTAATAATTTTTTTTCATTTTTGTTTAATTGCAAAAATTTGTCAATTATATTTAAACAATTCTAATTAAGAAATTAAATTAAGAAAAATTTAAAAAATTCAAAAAATAAAATTTGTGCGTAACTTGTATATTATATTTATGTTATTAGTCAAATATATTTAAGATATAATTAAAAAGATAAGATATAATTAAAAGTAATAGTAAAGTAAAATAGTATGATATAATTCATCAAGTGGAAGATTTTAATCATCTTGGAACATATGATTTTAAAATTCTATGATTACATGAGGATTTATTCTATGTAACTTTCAAAATTTATTATTTTTTAATTAAATATTTAATAAAAAAAAATTCTATAAAGTCAAGAAAGAAAAAAATATATAAAAGATATAAAGTGAAAGATATATATTTCCATAAATTTATATTTATTATGGATTTATATATATTTTATAACATCTAATATTCAAGAAAATTATAAATTATTTTCAGCTATAAATTTGAAAAAGAAATTGTTATTAATGAAGATTGAATAAATTATGAATTTATATATTTTTTTCAAAATATGGTATGAAGCAATAAAAATTTGATTAGTTATGATTCATATTCATATATCTACATTTATATGTATATATATTTACATTATTATATAAAAATAATAATATAAATATGAAAAATAATATATATAAATAATTATTGTTATTTTTTTCATGTAGCTAATTTATTTATTTAGTTTTATATGTTATTTGTATACATATTTTATTATTAAAAACATCTGGCTTACAATTGTTAAAAAATAGTCAATTTATTTACATATCAATCTAAATACTTTAAGATCTGTCATAGTCATCTATTATGTAGTTTTATTTTATGATTTTATGGTTTTTATTTCTAAAAAATTTTATCTAAAAATTTAATTATAGGAGAAGGATCTAAGCCTATATTTGAAAGAGAAGAAATAAAAGATGTATTAAAAACAAATGAAATTACAGAACATCGTACAGTTTTAGTTGTAAATATTAAAGGATCAGGTATGTTTTTTATTAAAAATATAAACTCATTATAATTTAAAATAAATTATATATAATTTTATTTTTAGAAAACGAAATAACATGCAAAAATCATGCTACTTCATCAAATTCCTTAAGAAGTCGAAGTCGTAGTCTTCAACATACATCGTCTCATTATTCCAGGTTTGTTTGTGTAATGGCAATAATATTGAAGGTTTATTATCATTACACAACAATTGCATGTTACTACATAATTGTCTTACTTTTTGGAAATTAGAAATATAATTATATATAAATTAATTTAAATTTAATAAGGATATAATTAACTTGAAAAAGATAACTAAGATAAAACT